AGTGCTGACTGCTGGGCATGGCTAGTGGCAGCAGGTGTCAAGTCATACTGGGGCCCAAAATTCATTTTGCCTGGGTACTAAGCCAATCTTGAAGTTGTGGTTTGCAGCTTGCTAACTGAACTTTTGTCAAAGAGCTACGTCGTCCAGCTCAAAAGTTGTCTGTCGTGTCTGCCACGTAAGCAGACAGCGATCATTCTGCATTCATATAGCCTGTTCGCTGGTTGGTTTCGAATCGATAAAATTAATTTGGTCTTTGGTTTGTTATGAGAGAAAACTTATGTATACTGGTGGTTGATAAACCCTCATTTAAAAACCAACCAATGAAAACAAGTTGATAGTTTATTTAGCAAAATAATTGTACTTTGGTAGGGGGAGTACATGCTAGTACCATCTCCGCCCCTCAAATAATTGTCGTTTTTTGTTTCCGTGCCGTTAGTTTGACTAAATTTGTAGAAAATTCGTGCAACATTTGTATCTCCAAATAAATTTATTATGAAAATAAATTCAACGATCTATCTAATGATATTAATTTTATATCATAAGTATAAATATTTGTTTTTATATATTTAGTCAAAGTTGTTTCTCGAAAAGCGAAAGCGACAGTTATTTAGGGACGGAGGGAGTATAGGAGAAGCTACTTTGTACCCACTCTTATCCTAAGAAAGACCACCATTGTATTTTTTTTTTTTGGGGGGACTACCATTGTAGTTTTGTCTTAAGTCAAACCATTGCAATGGTAAGCTAATCAAGTTTGTAGAAAAAGATATTAATATTTGTATACTAAATTAGTAGCATTAAATCTTTATTTACAAAATGTATTTTCATAGCATATCTATTTCGTGTCGTAAATATCGATATTTTCTCTATAAACTTAGCCAAACTAGGATAGTTTTACTTTTGACAGATGGAGTATATATGATCTTGACACACTACAAATTAAAAGTAGTGATGTTCTGTTTTTTTTTTCAATACACAAAACAGACCCTTACGTACATGCACATATATTCTACCACCACGAACGTCTTCGAGATATTTTTGGTGAAGACACCAGAGACCCCTTGCAGACGGGTAACTCAACCTAGATGGACACGATCCAACATAAGAAACCTAACCAATTTTTTTTTTTGGGAATCTATAGGGGCTTTGGCCCTGCAGTATTTATTGAAAACAGAAAGGAACAAAGTTTAGGTACAAGTGCAAAAATAGTTCAAGAAATAATGAAAAAAGAACCTAACCATTTGAGTTATTAGGCTCAGCAAACGGTCATGTTCTTTCTTGTGTACATAATCCGGGCTGGATTAATGTTCTCATAGATAGAAGAGACATGTGGCCTGACATGTGGCCTTACACGTACTCCCTTTGAAGACGTCGTATGCATGATTGATCATTGCTAATAAGGAGCAGTTGTGTCGCCATCAGTGGGGAACCGTCTTCAGGTTTGAGCCGGTGGTGGTGCTACTCGTACCCCACGAGCACAAGGACAGGGGTGCTGGCTGGCCATGAAAACGAAAACAACTCATGAGGAATCTTGAACCCTGAATGAATGAAAAAGATGGCCACTAATTTCCTGAATATATGCATGGTGCCACGATTTATTTCCAACCTGATATATTAATTAGTAGTGCCACAATAATGCAATAATCAGCTGGAGCCACGTCACATTATGGGTAGCATCGTAATAGAATTAACAATGATATGATGTTCCTTAGAGCAAAAAATGAAGTGCAGATAAGAGAATATAATTAGGTGCCAGAGCTTGCTGAAGAAATTGGTAGTAATGAGCAAAGTCAACCAAGAATCACCATCACCAGTATTATTGAGAAAACAAACTTGCACTCATTTTAATATTTTTGCAGATCAGAGCGCGACATACGCATTGTATGTATTATTATTACTGGTTGAATTGGTCAACGTAACTTTGTTTTAGGCTCCCCCCACCCACCACCTTCAACCGCTGCTGCTACATATTCCATTTTAACTCTGAACTGAAGCACCTGCATCATCGATCCCTTTCCGTCAGAGCCAAAATCCCTGCAGCTCAAGCTCTCTGTCAGGTCAGGTGCCAGCCCATTTCTTGCACACAAGTTCCAGCAGACAAATTAAATCCACCACACGACACGCAGACACACGCGCGCGCAGAATCGAAGATGCTTCTTCCCAGGCACAGATTCTTCAAGTTCAGGTCCTTGTAGTTGCAGCTGCAAACGGGACTCGCAGGGATCTCATTCTCATCACTTCTTCATCAGCTAGCCAGCTGAACCAGCTGATATGATCAGAGAGAAGCAAAAATCTCCCCACCCTTCGTTTCTTCCACACATAGTCGCCTTTAATTCCAGGGGACAGCAAGGGCAGGGACGAGCGAGGTCGACTGCTTGTTGGCTACTCAGGTACATACATATTCCCTGCACCGGCAGCTATTTTTCCATCGTTTATCCATCTATATCTATCCCTTCAATTCATGTCTCTGTATTTATGTATCTATATACCTCTCAAGCACTGCACTTTGTCTGTGTGTGGGCTTGTCACAGCTCGATCGATCGCGATCACAAGGGACGCAGACGGTGGTGACTAGCACGATTGGTGCCTGTTGCAGCTGCATGCGCGGGGAAAGAAAAAACTGAGGTGACTGCAGAATAGAGCTGCACTCATTGAATCTGCAAAGTTCCTTGGAGGGAGGCAAGGCATCCTGTCCTGTTCCATCCATCCACCGGCCATACATCACTCAGCTTCAGAGGCTTCAGCCTACCACCACGCACTGCAGTTCCGTGCTCGGTCTCTGCTGCCTGCCACATATAACTAGCTGGTGTCGTCAGAGTCAGATGAGTGCACGGCCCTGCCGCTGCCGTTGCCGCTGCCTCGGCGCCGCGCACCACGCGCACGCGCACGCGGGGGTCTCCACCTCCGGGCCATCGTCGTCGTCCATGGCGCCGGACGACTTCTCCTGCCTCAGCTGGCTCCTCTTCCGCGTCTTCATCCTCTTCGCCTACGACGACACCCACAACCACAGCCACAACCTCCTCGCTCCTGGCGGCGCCCTCTAGCACAGGCCGCCCACAGCTCTTCCTCCACTTCTAGTTTGCTTTGCTGCTGCTTGCCTGCTTCCATCCATCGATTAGCTAGGCAGGCTCTCCATACATACAAAGCCAGATATATACTAGGTTACTTCTCTGTCTGCTGCTACTGCTGCACCACCCAAATAAAGCTCCGTGGAGCCGACCATGTCGGTGACACGGCGGTGCGGCGGCGGCCGGCGGCCTGAGAGGGCGGCGAGGGTGGGCGACAACGGATACGTCGAGACTGACCCCACCGGTCGCTATGGTCGGGTACGCATGCATGTCCTTCTTCTTCTTTGGTTTTTCTTCCTTCCAATTGGTGATTGAATAGTGATGAATACGCATGTTCTTTGTCCCGTGTTGTAGACAACTTCTTCTTTGCCTTTTCGTTCAAAATATGCATGTTCTCCCTCTTCAGATTTGGAATAGTAGCTAGCTTCTATGTATTGCTACTAATTACATGAACAACCTCGATCATCTTTTGAATCAACAAAATTTGGTAGATTGGTTATGAGTGTTGTCAGCGTCTAATCATGCTAGCTTGTTTCCTCTATTCCCTATCCTTGTCCTAGCTATAGCTAGCCAGCTCTATTTTGTTATTGACACTACCTTCTATAATTACTAGTAAAACTATAGTTATGCCATGACTCCATCAACATTAATCAGAGGCTCGTATGTAGAGAGTTCATATATATTTCTAAGCATCTTGTTTAAGAATGGATTATTCCACATAGCTAGTGATGTGCACATCGGAACTACCTCTAAAACAGGGCACAATTATTGAGCCTTTTTTCTTTTGCTTCCAATGCCCATTTGGCTTTTGCTGCGTGCCTAGGATATATAAACAAAGGAGGTGCACATCCTTTTTTTTTATTTCAGTTTTTTTAAAAAAAAAATCCATACGTAAACTAGATAGGTTTGTTGTCAAGGCATGTAAAAAAAAGTAGTCTGATGACTTGTTTTTCTCTTTGCTGGAAATTAAAAAAAATAAAACCTGTCATTTTTTCTGGATTATATGTAAGGCTTCCCTGTGTTGCAGTACAAAAGGACATCGTCCTAGCTTGTAACAGGAAAATATTATGGGTGATCTTGTTTGTAGTAGCATCTCACCTATTGTACTTGATTGCCATAAAGTACAAACAGTTAGCAGCATGAAAAGTTGAACCACCAGATATATCATTAAACATATGTTTAGCTAGATCAGAGTTTGTACCTACAACTCCTACATACTTTATTAATTTAAAAAAATCAGTTGCTCAGATGGATTCACAAATCAGATGGCATCATGCATGTATGAACAATTCTAAACAATTGCTGTTCATACAGAAAGATATAGATGATGATAATAATACCAATAATACATAGTATTCTATATACTTGGTCAACTAGTGGATCATCATCATTAATTTTGGGATGGTGAAAGCCTGCAGGTTGTGTGATTATTCCACTTCCAATCAGAAAAGAGTGCCAACTTTTTATCCAGCGGTAGTCAGAGTAGGTGTTTGATTGGTATTTGAACTTTCCCAACTTGGATATGCTCAACTGTTAGCTTAGTTTTTTCTTTCTTTCTTCCCATTGCATGCATGTGTCAAGATGCCAATTATAAGATGCTTTGAAATCTTCAGAAAGGATGTGCCGTTGCTATGTCATGTCCTAAAGATATGGTGCAGTGCTTCATCTTTTCTTCTTTCTATTGGGATCAAGATCAAATCGTCTACTTCACTTTTTCTCATCTTTTCAGCACTTCCTCGCATGTGTGAATTCCTTCTTTTTATATAAAGACTTCAGAGAAGAATATCATTACTAAATGGGTTCCAAAAAAAATGATTACTAAATTTGTTGCTAATTCAAAGTACTTAATTTTGCACGTATATATGTCGATGTGGCGACACGTGTACATACATGCATATGGAACATCAGTTCGATGAGCTCCTGGGGAAAGGCGCCATGAAGTCGGTGTACCGGGGCTTCGACGAGGAGCGGGGCGTGGAGGTGGCGTGGAACCAGGCGAGCCTCGCCGACGTGCTCCGTTCGCCGGACGCCGTGCAGCGCATGTACTCGGAGGTGCAGCTACTGAGCTCGCTCCGTCACGACGGCATCATCTGCTTCCACGCCTCGTGGGTGGACGTGCCGGGGCGCAGCTTCAACTTCATCACCGAGCTCTTCTCCTCCGGCACGCTGCGGTCCTACCGGCTCCGGTACCCTCGGGTGAGCCTCCGCGCCGTCCGGTCGTGGGCGCGGCAGCTGCTCGGCGGCCTGGCCTACCTCCACGCGCGCGACCCGCCGGTGATCCACCGCGACCTCAAGTGCGACAACATCTTCGTCAACGGGCACCAGGGGCAGGTGAAGATCGGCGACCTGGGCCTCGCCGCCGTGCTCGGCCGCCGGGGCGGAGCCGCGCACAGCGTGATCGGGACGCCCGAGTTCATGGCGCCCGAGATGTACGACGAGGAGTACGACGAGAGGGTTGACGTGTACGCGTTCGGGATGTGCATGCTGGAGATGCTCACCGTCGAGTACCCGTACAGCGAGTGCTCCAACCCGGCGCAGATCTACAAGAAGGTCACCGCCGGCAGACTCCCCGACGCGTTCCACCGGGTGGACGACGACGACGCGCGCAGGTTCATCGGACGCTGCCTCGTCCCCGCCGCCAACCGCCCGTCCGCCGCCGAGCTGCTGCTGGACCCTTTCCTCATCGACGACCATGGTCACCGCCACCATCATGTTGCTGCTGCTGGCACGGTGCCAGTGCCAGTGCCGGCGCCGTTGCCAGCTGCTGTTGCCGCTGCCGGCGTTCCGCCGCCCTCGACGTGTAGTAGCTCCGCCGACGATGTCGTCTCGGCGTCGTCGTCGTTGGACGACGACGAGGGCGAGCATCATCAGGAGCCACAACATCCGCCGCCCAGGAACGACATGACCATCACCGGGAAGCTGAACGCGGACGAGGACACCATCTTCCTGAAAGTACAGATCGCCGACGAGGCGACGGGGCACGCGCGCAACATCTACTTCCCGTTCGACATGGCGAGCGACACGGCGGCGGAGGTGGCGCAGGAGATGGTGAAGGAGCTGGACATCACGGACCGGGACGCGCCGGAGATCGCCGCCATGATCCAGCAGGAGATCGGCAGGCTGCTGCCGGGGCGAGCGCAGCAGCAGCACGAGTACACGTACGCGGAACGTGACGCCGACGATGACGATGACGAAAACGACGAGGAGCGGCCTCCGCCCTTCTGCTGCTACCTCTCCTCGTCTCCCGCCTCCTCTCATGGCTCTCACTGCGGGATGGGGCCTTACGCCTGCGGAGGCTTCCCTGGCCCACGTGGCGGTGGCTGGTCCAAAGGTAACCGCATCCATCCCAAAATACCTTCGGTATTTGACACGACCAACTTTAATTTATTTAAATTTAGAGTTATTTTAAGGCTACCGTCCCAAACCTTTGGCTACAAAATACCTTTTAGTTACAAATTGAATCTTTTTGAATGTTACAAATTGAATTTGAATGATTGAATGTGATCGGAGGGTATTTGTTTCAAAAAGTAGAACTTTTTCTATAAAAATATGCAAATATGACGCCACTAGAGGGAGTAGTCGAGTAGAGGTAAATTTTGAGATTTGGTGTGCTGATCTTGAATTATTTAGGCCCAAGGTTTAGTAAGGTTTGGTCCAAACGTATCAAAATGCACGTCATATGTGTATGTATGACATATCCTAAATGGAAAAAGTCTACTTAACCCCCCACCTTTCTGTAATTAATTAGAATTTATCTATAACTAAGGTATACATAGTCCAATGAGTACGAAATTTTTACTATAATTCAAGCATATAATAATTAGCGTACCATAAAAATTTCACCACAATTGGACCATAGAAGCTGCAGCTATGAATTATTCCAATTAATTACAGACAAAATTAGATTTTCCAATTAATCTAAGGCTACAGTAAAAATTTTGTACTAAAGCATACCGTATTATATATTCACTGTGTAGATCTACTCACGTGGAGTCCAATAAAATTAGATTTTTCATTTTATGATTTTTCTATGATTTTTCAAAAATTCACCGAAAATAAATAAAAAAAGAAAATTCAAACCCAACGACACTGTAGCAAGAAGACGGTTTCATAGTTGGGGGATAAAATAGACCAAGTATGAAAGGTGATGAGTTAAATAGACTTTTTCCTATCTAAAAGGGCATCTTTGTTCAACTGCTTTTGTACCTACGTGTAGTGCATGACGTAGGCAACCGATGAATTGGACCTGCGCCGAAATGTTGACTATGGTGCCTCTGGTTCATTGTCCTCTTTCATTTTTTTTGGGACCGCATGCAGCAGTCGTATCACCGTACGTGCAGGCAGGACAATTTTGACACTAGCAAGGTGCATGCGGTACACACGTAGGGCATCAACGGTCCCCAAATGCCTGCCGACATGTGTTTTGTTCGTTGTCCACGTAGGAATGACCATGACTTATATTATGACGATATATAGTCCATTCATTTTAAATTATAAGTTATTTTAATTTTTTCTTAATACATAACATCTTTTTTGTTCGTTATCCACAGCATGACCACAATTTATGTTTGTGTTATGGTGCTATATAGTCCCTTTTATTTTAAATTATAAGTGGTTTTAAAATATTTAGGGCAAAGTGGCCACCGCACGGCCTCCTCCCCACGCACACTCCTTCCCCATGCACACGTGCACATGTTTCCTTCTCTCCCCACGTGGCAGCAGGTTCTGGCAGCGGCGGGTTCCGGCTCCTTCCCCCCCGCGACGGCCGGTTTCGGCAGCGGCAATGGGTTGTTGCGCCAGCGGTGCCAGCGAGGTGGGTCCTCCTCCTCTTGGATGTGCGAGTTAGGATTCCAGCGGGTTTCTCCTCTCTCTCCCTCTCATCTTCCCCAACTTGGCGAGCTTCTCCTCTCTCTTCTTCCTCAACACCGGTGACCTTAGAAGAGAAGGGGTTTGGAGGGGAAGGAAGGCCGGCTAGGCGGTGGGAATGGCTGGAGGCCGCTGCTGCTGACGACAGTGGAGGTAGTCGCGAGCTAGGTTGGGGCGGGAGAGCTCCATGGACTTGGCAAAGCTACGGTGAAACCCTAGCGCGCTGCGGCAGGGCGGTGGGCGGCGGTGGGGCGAGGATAGCTAGAGAGAGAGAGAAGATGCCACGAGGAAGAAGATGAGCTGTCGGGGCGCAGGCCAAATCGACCAGCCATGCGTTAGCTGCGTCCAATATTTAGATATATAATATAACTTTATTTATTATGTATATGGACATAGATTGTATCTAGATGCTTACAACTGTACATACATACATGACACAGTGTGCACACATGCACGGGAGAGTGCTGTGACATTGAGCCTTGACACGTGTGCATTTTCTTTTTTGAAAAAACTTTGTTGGTGTAGATCATCATCACTGGTACGCTTTAAGCGACGACGATGACATGAGCTCCGTGCACTCCGGTAAGTACTCTCCTCTGCATTACGCCTCAGGTGCCGACGAGGCGGAGCCCATGCCCAGCTGCTGCACCGGTAGCGGCTCGTCCAAGACAAGGTTCGGCGGCGGCGGCGGTGGCTGCAGCTCCGCCGCCATGCTCTCGGGGCAGCTGCAGCGGCAGTGCAGCATGTCGCCGCAGCACCAGCACGCCGGGCGGCCGCGGCGTCGGGAGGACGACGACGGGACCAGCCGGCGGAGGAGGATGACGCGGAACCGGTCGATGGTGGACATGCGGAGCCAGCTGCTGCACCGCACGCTGGTGGAGGAGCTCAACCGCCGCCTCTTCTTCAACACCGTCGGCGCCGTCGAGAACATCGGCTTTCGCGCGCCCACCACCACCTCGCCCTCCGCCTCGTCGGCGGCCGCGCGCGGCGGCCTCGATCGCGGCATCAGGAGACCAAGCGGCGGCAAGCAGCCGCTCGACGATAAGCAGCAGTACTTCATGCTTTAGTTCCAGCTAGCAATCCCATCGAATTTTTGTGTTCTTTTTGAACCATTCTGTGGGATGAGAGTGTTGTACTGTACATACATGCAGCTGGGAGAATCGGCGAGTGAGAACTGGTTCGGTTCACCCACCATGCAAGCAAAAATATGTGTATATTTTTGAAAAAAGAGCATAGGCTTAGCATGCCACACTGCTAAAGTTTGTTACAAACTTGTTGCAACATATAATGTGTGGCTCTGTACATATTACTGTTGCTGAAGTACCTATAAGTTTTTTTTATAAATAAATTCCCTGTATATACCATAAAAAACTATAGTACTCCCTTATATCAATATAGATCTATTTATACACTCAATGTTAGTTTTAAAATTTTTATAAAAGTTCTGACTAACAGACTGACAGGAGTATATGGAAGAAACATTTCAGAAAGAGTAGGGGTGTTACATGAAACAATTCATGAATTACATTAAAAAGAAAATAGATGTCCTAAAGCAAAATGGGCCTGACAGCCCAACATCACAGCCGGAGGCTTGAGTACACGAGTAACAAGCAGCGTAATATCAGCCCACACACTGACATGGTTACTCTCTACCAGTGGCAGGGTAATATTTATGTCTTGTTTGACATGTACTTTAATATTTTTGTCATGTATGATGCTGTTGTTAATTGGACTGTTTAGTATCAGTGAAAGGATGGATTTACCCCTAAGGTCAATTTGATTTTGTCCCAGCTTGTATTCTTAGGACAACAATGAAACGTTTTTCACCAACTGTGGCATTTGTTTCACAAATATGTAATCGTCGCATTCTCATTTTGTTTCCACATCAATGGCAATATTTATCTTCTCTATAGCCCCAGTTGGCAAAACGAAGTGGCATGCTAAAGCACCTTGTACAGTGCTACTGTGGCTGCCTTTGGCTTTCTCCTTTTTAATATAACATGCAGCTCTCCTGCCGGTTTGTTTTAAAAAAAAAGTTGGCAAAACGAAGCATACATGATTGGTAAATAGGAGAACATTTTGTAGCATAGACAAATGAGATCACAAGATAATATAACAATATATAATAATAACCATCACACAACTTATAACAGGTTGAAGTGTTGAACACAGCTTGATTCCATAGAACATGTTCATCAAAGCTAGGTCAATACTACATGTTCAACAAATCAAGCCAATACATGAGGCCACGTACCATCGGGTGCAACACATAGTTGACAAAATTAAAGTCTGAAACACAACATAAGCAGTTCAACACCGTGGGTTCAAAACTTGGCCACACATAAGCCCAAGCATGATTCACCAGATTCAATAAAAGGTAATAAGTAGGTAACTAATTAAGCACAAAAGCACAAGCTGATCACTATTGTGCTCACTGCAGAGCTAGAAGGATCAAGTTTCTTTGCTTCTAAAGTTCTAATGGCCATTGCAGGTCTGTGAAATAGCCTTAATTTTAGCTTGCTTCTTCCTTGGGCCTTTATACCTGCGCTGTGCACGCATATAACAATAAAAATCAGGAATTCTCACAGCAAAGAAACATCTATATTTGGTGCATGCATATAGCAAAGAATCACAGAAGACAAGTGTAGAATTGCTAACATTGGTGGAAACGACATGGAGGATGTTGATTATGCTTCATCGTTAAAAGGGACATTCCTGAGTTCTTGCTTTGGTCTTCTCTATCTTCTTTGGTGGTTCTCTGCATAATAAGCAAAAAAAATCCCATGAAGCTAGAAAGAATGGACCAACAAAACCAAAAACCAAAATTTGCGAGACCTAACATCACACCAGTAGGAGGCTTGAGTACAAACGATTGACAAGCTAGGTGTTTTTTCACCCTACGGCTAGCCGTGTAGCCCACACATTGCTTACTTTTTGGTAGTGGAAGCAGGCGGATGCCATTCCCCTGTTGCATGCTTCAGGATGCCGGCGTTGGAGAGCATGGCCCAGAGGTGCGTGATGAACTCCCCACCTTTGGCCAGGTGCTCGATGTGTGCCTCGGCGTTTTGTCGGACGGCGCGACGTACAGGATTGTCTCCGCCCAGAACTCTACAATGAACCTCCAGCGTACCTTGTCGTCATGGATCATCTCCAGTTGTCGCCCCAGCTCAACACCCTTGTGAAAGGTCGTCTGCTGCTCATGTTGGTCTGGTAGCTGTAGCCCTCGTATCTTGGTGCGCTTCTCCTCGTGTCCTTCATTGGCTTTGTTCCTAGTTCTTGCTGTGCTTCCTGCAAGACTCTTTGAAACACTTGTTTGGTGGTCAGGCTATGCTCCGGGAGGAACTCTGGAAGAAAGGCCACCAGGTAGGCACAATATCTTGACAATGCTTTGGCAGCTTCATGATGCCATTTCACCAATAGGTCATCACTTATTGGTGTCATGTCACAGTAACAGGTTGCTATGTGCCAAATGAGGATGGTGTCCATGTGAGTTTCTTGCTTGCAGATCCATAACCAATCATAATCAGCACTGTCCCGGTTTATCTTCAGAGATCTGCTACCATTTGTTGGTGGGCCATCTATAGCCTGGAGAGTATCGGCAACCAACTCTCTCATGTTGTCCAGCTTCTTTATATCGACTCCTTCTGCTGCTGCTGGGAGATGCTTGATGAACTCATATGACAGTTGGGATAGCATAGTTCCGTGGAACCAGGCTACAAGTGCCTTCTTGCGAGAGGTATGACGGTTGTAGTCTTGGAGAATTGAGTATTGGCCCATTTTGTTCCTCCAGTAAACACCATCAGATACATCCTGCACATTAGTATTAGGCCTAAAGAGGAATAATCGTCTCACCAATCCGTTGGTGGTGGGGCGGCTGTTGGGGAGACAATTGAGTTTACGAAATGCGGTGTGTACTGGACGCCGATAGATAGCCAAAAGATCTTGAACCGGTAGAAGTAGCCACCCACATAGTTTGTCAAAAAGTGACATTAGAATACCCAGCGATAATATTACTACAGAATTGCTAAACCTCGGCCGGTTGATTTGGCTCTCCAATCAACTGATTTTTGGGCCATCTGATCTTACGCGGAAGGCTAGCAGGGGCGCGTCCGACAAACAGGCGAGGCATGTGCAATCAGTGAGGGCCGGCGAGGCAACAGGTGCGGCCAGCCTCAGAGCTCGTGGCCCTAGCCATGGCGGGCGCGTGGCCCGGCGGGCGCGGCGCGGGGCCGGTGGCCGGCGACGAGGAGGGCCGACGGCCGGCAATGACGAGGTCGACGAGGAGGGCCGCCCCAGGCTGGATCACCGTTGCTGGTTCTTCTCCGGATTCTGTTTGCGTGCGCATTCGACGGAAGGGAAGGGAAGTGCGCAGGCGACGGAAGGGAAGGGATAAGGTTGGGGAGGTGGGTTCCACCACAATTTGGGAAAAAATGTTTTGAAATTTATGAAAAATTTGTGAATAATTTGAAATATATTTCTCTAGTATCTGCAATTCATAAAAATAATTTGAAAGTATTTCTGAAAATTTTGGCATATATTTGTATTATCTCCAAATTACTCCACCGTGTTCAATAAATTACACTGAAGAAATCATTGTAAATCTAGTAATAAGATAGTATAAATATAACTAGAAGACACTGTAAGTAAATCTAGTAATAAGATAGTATAAATATAACTAGAAGACACTGTAAGTATATGGAAAAAATTCAGTTGATAGGAGGGATCGAAACAATTGAATGTCACCTAGACAGATCCTATTACTAACATGTGAATCGAATCCTGTCCAACAATACTAGAACGTTTTAGAATGGCAACCAGGAAGGTTACCACAGTGGTTGATGGCTGTGCAACTTGAGGGTAATGCAATCCCAGTTGTGTGATTGGGAGGGAGGCGGTGAAGAAGTAATCGTGAAGGAAAGCCAACTGCACCTCAACAGTTTTGAATGCCCTCTTGTTGCCATCTCTTCTTCCTAGGTCGGCCAACGCAAAACGGCGCACCATGTCATCTCCTTCTTCCGCGCAGTGAAACCCATAGTAGCGCCTTGCTAAAAGCCGGCACAAACTTTAGGAGAGGCAAATGTCCTTGTCCCCATTCGGCAGGTCATCCCGATGCACCAGATCTTTGATAGTGACCCATTCCCCATTCCCCCCCCTGCACAAAGGGATATCTGCAACAATAATCCAGCTGCAGGCTGCTGTTACTGTTAGCATTATCATCATCAAAGATGGGTGAGCTGTTAATACTTGTAGGATCGTCTAGGAGTAGATCCGGGGTGTTAAACATTTACTGGATGAATCAAAGACCTAGAACACGTTCTAGACAGAGAGAGAGAGAGGATAGAGGAAGAACGTGTCGAACCTGACACCGCAGGGGATGATCCAGAAGCCGCCATCACGTTCATCGGTGAAGTCTGTGCACGGGCAACGACATTCGGGGAAGAGGTTGATGAAGTCGTCGACGTCCGGTGGAGCGAGGCGGCGCGGATGGTGGCTTCCCGTCACTGGCTACGCCCCTCTCTGATCGGATTAGGGTTTAGGTTTCGATGGGAAGCTCGGCTCAGGCGAACCTCGTGTGTAGAGCCGCCGGCCCCACCTCTATTTATTGCGCAGTGTGACAGGGGCCCTCCAGCCATAGTGGGCTGAGCGCCCCCGATCAGGGCGCGGATCAAAGGTCCAACTGGGCCGTTGGACTCAGTTTGGGATTAGAGATCAATCTAACAATCTCCCCCTTGATCTCATACCATCTTTCAATTTCATATCATTTACTTTTGTTCATTCCATTACAGATTAGAGCATAGAGCATGTTTCATCGTCACGGTCAATTACCGATAGATTTCACAGCTACAACACACCACTCTGTTCTGAAATAGATACTTAACTTTGAGCCTTCTTTTGTCCAGGAATTATAGGCTTTCCCTTAAACCCATGCCGGCTACATGTTCTCTGAACACGTGGGTGGTAAGCCTTTTGTAAGCAGATCCGCGAGCATCTTTTCGGTACTTATATGCTCAAGACTTATGACATGATTCCGGACTTTATCTTTCACAACATAATACTTTATATCAAT